TCATCTCTACAATAAATAAAAAAAAAATCAGCCGGGTGTGGTAGCACATGCCTGTAATTCTGGCTACTTGGAAGGCTGAGGTTGCAGGATCACTGGAGCCCAGCGGATCGAGGCAACAGAGTGAGACTCCAACTCAAAAAAATAAAAGTTGGCAAAGGACATGAACAGACACTTCTCAAAAGAAGACATACAAGTAGCCAACAGACACGTGAAAAAATGCTTGGCCTCACTAATCATCAGAGAAAAGCAAATCTAAACTATGATGAAATACCACCTAATTCCAGTAAGAATGGCTATCACTAATAAGTCAAACAAACAAACAAACAAACAAACAAAAAACAAACAGATGCTGGCATGGATGCGATGAAAAGGGAATGGCTCTACACTGTTGGTGGGAGTGCAAGCTAGTTTCAACTTCTACAGAAACCAGGATGGCAATTCCTAAAAGAACTAAAAATTGACCTTCCATATGATTCAGCAATCCCCTCTTGGGTATAGACCCAGAGGAACATAACTCGTTCTATGAAAAAGACACCTGCACACACATGTTTATTGCTGCACTATTCACAATATAAAAAACATGATACCAACCCTACTGCTCACTGAAAGTGGACTGGATAGAGAAAATGTGGTACATATACATGGTGAAGTATCACACAGCCATAAAGAACAAAATCACGGACTTCGTAGCAAATTGGATGGAGTTGGAGACCATCATACTAAGTGATTGATCACAGAAACAAAGAACCGAGTAACGCATACTCTAACTCATAAGTGGGCCCTGAGCAATAATCACATGAACACAAGGGAGAGATGGCAGTTGCTGGGCACTGCTATGGAAGGGAGGGAAGAAGGAGGGTGCGGGGCACATGACAATACATAAGATACCAGGTCCACTCCCAGGGAAAGCAGAACCAGTTGGAAGCCCAAACTTCACCTGCATGCAGTCTACCTATGTAGTTAATCCTCATATGTATCACAAATCTCTATAGTAAAATAAAATAAAAAGAAATAAAATAAAAAAGAAATGGTCATACAATTGTCACTGACAATAAAATAAATATTATAAAGGCGATGACTGTCCAAAACTTAAAGCATATTAGATGTTGCTCACACGCATAAGTTTTCTTTCCAAAAAATATTTATAGCTCAGGGCTATATATTGAAGTTATTGAATGTCGATGGAATGCTATTATATAGTTTGGCTGTAGGTTACTGTCATCAAACTCCCACAGCCAAACTATATAATATACAAGAGAGTTTCGAGTTCAAATAAAATGGAACAGCAGATATTACATATTACAATATTACATATTATATAATATTGCATTTTAAATGCTACAATATTACATATTACAATTTCCTTTGGAAATTTTAAATGTTTCACACCAATAGAGAATAGACTTTTAGCAAGCAATTACTGTTTACTGATATATAATCTGCTTTGGAAATCTGTAGTAATAAGTAACCAAACACATGTCTCAAGATTGTAAATATTTCTTACATGAACCCTATTTTAGAGAGATTCTGCTTATCAATTTATCTCTATGAAAAATGTATAAGTTGAGTTGAATATAATTACAAGCTGAGATGCAGATGGAAAATCAGAGATGGCTTTGTACCTTGAGTTTTTTGTTGTCACATCTGAAGATCTAGCATTTAAATAAAATATTTCTCAAATGATTTGGCAAAACAGAAAGTGCAGTCAGAAATATTGGAAAACAATATATAGGTGAGGATAGCAATTTCACTGTACTTCTTAAAGTACTCTAAAAGCATCTTCTACTATGTTTATTAGGGAGAGTGGTTTGTAGTTTGCTGAAGACCAGCTCCAGCCAGGTTCAGGGTACCCCAAAGGTGGAGACAGCGTTGGTGATTGGGGGGAAGAAGAAAAAGAGAGAGAGAGAGAGAGAGAGAGAGAGAGACTGGACTCCAGTCTAGTGCAGAAGTGATGTGTGTTATTGGGAATTACAACGGGTCTTTTGTACACAAAGTCAGATGTGGGAGGGGCGTCCCCCACCCACCAGAAAACCTTAATCCATGAAATTTAATCAATGATTGCCTTTAACCCTTTGCATATGATAATCTTAAATCCCATACAAAGATAACCTAATCTGTGACTGACATATTCTATAA